TGTTTCAAACGGCAAATAAAGTGCAGTACAACAGCATAGCCCTTGAGACTCTTCTGAGAAGGACTGGTTGGTTTCTTTTTTCATTTAATGTTCTGTCTCATAATTCTGGGTGGTAGTTGTAGACAACATACTTCTCCCCTTCCACCTCTCATTTCTCCCAGCAGAATTTGCCTACCAGAAGGTGTTTCTCTTATGACCATAATTACAAAATGCATCTGGGGGAGAGGCAGGCATAGGACTTGCTTTGTGGAATAAAAGCTGGGTCAGACTTGAACAGTAGAATCTTTGTTTTATCCCATGTGTCATGCACCTATAGAGAAAAATCACTGCTCTAACAGCAGAGTGATTGGGTTTTTTAATATCCCATCTCTTGATAACTTAAGGGGTTTGGTTGCCAAGTGTAACTTGTTGCTCCCAGGCATGGATTGAGCTACTGTGTACTTTTAAATGGCCTCAAATAACTTGCCTAGATGTGAACTTACCCTCTATATACTCTGAATTCACTATTTTACTACTTTTTCTGGAATGAGCACCTATACTTTGTCACACTGGTTTCCATAGAAGCTCTCATGTCCCATGGTATAAGCTTGGCTTTATTTCACGACCCTGCAAAGGTAGAAACTCACCCTTCAATGAGAAACACGTTTTCTCATCAGTACAGAAAGTCGCCAAACACGCATGAGAAATTCACGACGTCCTCCTTAACACGTCGTGAGCGTGCGGAAGTAAACCACGAGGATGCAGCTCATGTCAGCTCTCACAGCTGAGAGGAGTTAATAACTGCACTGGGGAGAGAGGGCAGGGAGGAAGGATGGCCGTTTGCTGGGAGAGGGCATGGGTGTTCATAGCTCGCTTCTGTAGGTTGCAGTCAGCAGCAGGCATAGGCTGGAGCATGGTGATGCTCCATTTTGCAGGAGAATACATTTTTCAGCAGTGTGTTGCTGCACATCATTTCCAAATGTGGCCCAGCAGTTGCAGAACAGAGGATGTGCTGGTGAGGACAACCCCAGCTACGTGGCAAGGGGAGAGTTTTGTCCTTAATGTTGTATAATATAGATATACACCCTGCGAATGATGACCATCATCAAGGAAAGCTGCCCGTACAGTCCATCAAAAACTGCAAAGCTAATGATGGGCTGGGCAGATAATCGTGGGAGAGTTAATTGTAAGGTTTGATATGGCATCTTGTCAGCAGAGATAAGTTGTCACGTTTTCCACTTGAGCTGAAACTAAATGATTGTAAAATAAGTTATGAGTGTCCTTGGGCCTGTCTGCCAGAATGATGGCTAAGAATACATTCCTGGCCCATCAGTCTCAAGCAGCCCGCTTGATATTTATGCGAACTGAATGTTATTTTATTCCCCCTCTAGTCATGCTTGTCAGCTTCCCGAGTGAAAAGTGAAACTGCTTCTTTGACTCATACTTCAAGTATTGAAGCTCGGAGAGGCTGCAGATTGTTATTATTATTACTAGTATTATATATTTTTTCGGGTGTGCGTTGAACATTGATGCCCGATTGGGAAGAACTAATGGCTGACATTGAACGCGCGGGATGGCTGCAAAACAGCCCATCCCAACCCAGCGAAACGCGTCTTATGACTTCCAGTGCCTCTGTCAAAGCTGGTTTAGATGTGGAGTAATGAGGCGCTTGCTTTTTTAATTTGGCGTGCCTTTTTCCTTGCCTTTTTTTTTTTTTTTTTTAATTTTTAATAGGGCAGGCGGGGGGGTTTTTTTTCGCCTGTGTACTAGTATTATATATTTTTTCGGGTGTGCGTTGAACATTGATGCCCGATTGGGAAGAACTAATGGCTGACATTGAACGCGCGGGATGGCTGCAAAACAGCCCATCCCAACCCAGCGAAACGCGTCTTATGACTTCCAGTGCCTCTGTCAAAGCTGGTTTAGATGTGGAGTAATGAGGCGCTTTCTTTTTTAATTTGGCGTGCCTTTTTTCTTGGCTTTTTTTTTTTTTTTTTTAATATTTAATAGTGCCAGCAGTGGTCGTCTGTTTTCAGGCATGGTAATTGATACAAAATAAAATGCATTATTTGTATTCAGTCAGGAGTATGAAATTGCGTTCAGCGGGCTGAAGCCTGAACTCATTTACAGTTTTCCGAAGCCAGGCTTTCAGGAGCCCTCTTTTCAATTTGAAGAATACCTTGTCAGGCAAGAGAAGTAGTGGGAAATGGGAAAGCACAGCATGTAAGCCTAGCGCCTTTTGATTGCTCATATTTTAAACCAGGAAAATGTTAAATAACTTACATCTTCAAAGGGTGGTCTCCGAAACCGGGAATACAGGGCATTAATACACCAACAATATCAGCTCGGTACCCGTTTACGAGCGACTTGCGTTTCTTTTCTGGTTGAGGGGGAGGGAGAGCTTCAGGCTGTTTGCTTCAGAGCCGTTTGACCCAAGGACGGCAGGTTATTACCTGGAAAGGGCTGCGGATCACGAGGATTTACCATAGGAGGTTAATTCTTCAGCTCTCTGACGCGAGTAGTCGGACTGTACGTGTATACATATCCTTATTTTTCAGAGCTCGCAAGCAGGTTTTGTTGGTGCAATTTATAGCCTAGAAATTAGACTAAGCTGCAGTAAGCGTACAGATTTGCATTAACATTTTTTAACAAGGATCCTACATGAAAAATATATTCTGTGGTTTTGCGTCAGGGTGGGGTTTCTTCACCGTTTTACAGGTCCAGGGCATCGTGATTGATGCTGGAGTCACATGTGGCGATGAACACAGCCCTCGTATGCCTGCCTTGGGGACCAGAGTGCTTTGGCACACGTCTCAGCATCGCGAATATTTGGAAACAAGCTTTTTGAAAGGCATGGGAGAGGGTGGTAGAACTGTTTTTTCCTGGATTTTTTTTTTCTTCCTTTGAGTAAAATGGGATAATTCTTTTTAAAGTGAAAGCTGAGAATGAGGCCTGTTCATATGCCACTTTCCTCATATTTTCTGAGTGGAAAAAGTGAAGCGTTTTGAGAAATTGTGTTAGATGTGAGCAAGTCTTCCTGGCTGGTGTACTCACTGGAATTTTTCCATGATATTTATTCATTTTCTCTATTTCAGCAAGCAAATGACAATCAACAAGATGCATTTTTGGTGCCCCGTGGCAGAACTTGCCACCACAGCTGGGCCCCTTCCTTGCAGTGCCTGGCTCTGCAGCTGGCCTGTCTCAACACGGCAATTTTCATGTCATTGCTGCAAAGGAGGTCTTTTTATGTTTTTTGGTCTTCTTTTTAAGTACCCGATGTATGAAACCTTCTGAAGTCTCAAACTGGAGGTCAATATTTAGGACTAGCAGTAACCAGCTTGCATCCATGGTCATGCCTTTGTATTGCTGGCATCCTCTTTTGCATCTTCTCTTCTTTCAGTGTCAAGGAGCGAAAGGTATCTGCGTCCCCTTTGCCAAGAACTTGCTGAGCACTGGCATGGGTTCTCATCAGGGTTCGCCCTCACCTTCACCAGACAATAAACACTTGCCAGGATAGCTGCTTTGAGCATTTCTGGGTCAAATACTTAAAATCTCCTATACAGATATACAGTAAATACATTCCCATGATTCTCTTTGTGGTTAAATACTTGGTGATTGGTTTCAAAATAGTGGACATAGGGAAAAGAACAAAAATACTTAATATAAAGCTTATGTTTGATTCCGTCTCTATTGCCAGGCAATTAGGTACATAATTTATCCCCCACTAATAACCTGCAGCACAACTGTGCTTAGCAAATAATTAGTAAGTAAACTTTATTACAAAAAAACAAAATAAGTGTTTCTTTGTCAAATAGGCGGTTGTATGGGGATTTAAGTACTCAAAAAAAAATCAAAAGTTACTTTTTAAATAGTCCTTGGCTTGATATTTTTCTAACATATGGATTCACTTTCTTAAGTGCAATCCTGGTATTGCACTTAAGTGCAATATGGTATCTAACCAAAGTTCTGGGAGCAGCTTCACTTTAAATAATAGCAAGCTTTACTTTAAGTAAAGTGTAGAATGTTATGTTAAATTTTATAGTTAAAAACAAAACCAAACCAACAAAATATAAATGCATTTAGCACTAATCATAGCCAAAAGATTGGTTGCCATTAAACTAAAATCATGTTACCAACCTTGGGGAAAAATACTGGATTAAGGTTACTTGAGTATTTGCTATGCGGAAGGACCCAGATGGAGAGTGAAATTCAAGTATGTCTTCATTTCCTAAACTTTTGTTAAATATTGCTGCTAGATGTTTCTTGACTGAAAAAGAGAAGAACTGCTCAAAGAGAAGGTGTTCATGTCTTACCAGACGTCATCGACCTTTAATTTTGATTTGGTTGAGCAAGCTAATTTGTGGGAGAGGGGAGAAAATGACACTGTCATTAATTCTTAAAATTGTTGCATGTTATGCTATATAGCTAATACAGTGGGAAACTAAACATGATGAACATGGGTTTATTTTTTTTCATTGGGAGCAGATACTGAGTGACCCATTATCACACAATATTAATTGTACCAGGCATGCACACCTTGTTTTCCCACCTTTATTGCCATTACCACCTTTTCTATGTGTGTCTGTCTCTAATATTAATGAAGCAGCATTCAGAGGACATCAGGGTATCTCGATTCCATTATGTATGTAAAATGTCCTAGCGTTGCACGAGTTAATTTGAGGATCAGTAAGATCTTCGTAAGAAAGAGCAATTGGAAGTGATAAAGTGATTTCCCATTGGTTTTTGTGCATTCCAGCTGGCCTGCTTCTAAAATTGGTGCAGAGCACTGTTGATTTAATAGGACTTGAATCAGAACTTCAGCCAAGTTGCTATTTTGCACCTTTTTGAAAAAAATAATGGATATTGTTAGGAGGCTCTCCTGTAGCCTTTGGAAGTCAATGAGCTCAAGAAGTTAGCTGCTAACAGACAGCAAGGGGTAATATATTGGATTCTAGCAATCATTAATTTAAATTATGCAGTATTTTTATTTTTCTTTCTTTTTTTTTTCCCCCACATTGCAGATACCGGGTTAGGAGATTCTGTGTGTTCAAGCCCAAGTATATCCAGTACGACGAGCCCCAAACTTGATCCACCTCCTTCACCTCACGCCAACAGAAAGAAACACCGCAGGAAGAAAAGCACAAGCAATTTCAAAGCTGATGGTATCTCGGGCACAGCTGAAGGTAAGCTTACTCTATTGTGGAAGTCTGAATTTTTAAAATATTGTTCCAAAGAGCATTGTTAAGTACAACTCAACCACACCATTGGCTTTGCATACAGAAGGTAAAGAGAATTGTACTGAAGTAGAGAAATTAAAGACTGATCTTTCAATGGTGAAGCTGAATGATCTGAGGCATCACGCGATGGTGAATTTGACTGTCTGAAACATGTTTGGAACAGATTTTTTTAATAAACAAAAAAATGTCCCAAGTTAATATGGAGCATCATTAGCCGCAAAGGTAAGGTACAGGCATATTTGTAAGGTTAAAAAGAAAGAAAAAGTCAGATTCACTCAGTAGCCCATACATCATGTTAGAACTTGTGTATTTTTTCAGTGTTATTAAATCTCGTGTTATCTCTTCTGCTTAGACATGTCCTGAACTCTAGAATCGCAAATGCTTCTGATGCCTGTTATTGTTTGAATATTCAGCTACTCATGGAAAGATTGTGTTATTTGAGGATAAAAAGGAAAAGGGGAGAGTTTAAATGTTTGGGTTCTTTTTTAAGAACCAGAAAGCAAAAGCCAAAAAGAACTTCTTTTTTCCCTTAGTTTAGCTTACTGTTTCCAACGTGAACACTGCTATAGCTGTTCAATGCCCTTCTGAAGGGGTAACAATGTGTACAGTAGCCAGATATGATATAAAACATGCTTGTATCTTTAGAAAAGAAGAAAAGAAACATGCTAGGATTCAACCAAAAGAGCTCCAGAAAAAAGATGAACAAGGGTAGCTTGGAAAGCTCAGAAACTGGGGAGTCAACATGTAAGGAGAGATGAAAAACGGAGACAATGGAATAACATTGTTGGAAATGGGGAGTGTTGAGTAAGAAAAAGATGCAGTTGTAAGCATTGGAGAGTAAAAAACAGCTAATTCAGTATCAAAGAGCATTGGAACAAGTTCTGAAAAAAGGATGACAATTGCGGACAGCTGAAGAGACATTAAAAATAGATGTGATAATAGTATACAACTGAGAAGGGGCATGTTAACTACTACTTAGTCATCCTTATTTTCCATTTATTTAATTTCTCAATTGCACTTCTATCACATACGGAATTTATTTCCCCAGCTATCTATACAAATCCTTTTCAAAAAGCCATCAGCTTTTTTTCATAATAGCTCCTGTTGCGTTCTCTTTCCAGTCATTTAACTGTCTTTACTGTTAGTTTCCCCCTAGTTTATGGCCTGAAGCCAAATTTTATTTTAACCTTTCATCTTTAATTTGTCATCTTTTTTTTAACAATCCCTTCTACACCACTTATTTTCATACCTCGATGGCAAGTTATAGAGGGGATTTTTCAGTGCGCTCACCATTGGTCCAAGACTATTTTGTTGAAGTCAATATGAATCAAGACCAGCTGGATATCAAGAGCCTTTGAAAATCTCTTTCTAAGTAGTTAATACGTGTATGTTTTCTTTCTCCTGGGGAGATTATTTGCACAAGTCACTGGAGCTGGAGCCTGTGTGGTCCCGGTCTGCGGGTGCAGACTTCTGACCCGCAGCAAGCAATGAAGGATTTGCAGTTGTTGTGCATCTTGCCCCTGCAATCCCTGTTCTGAGTGGAGTGGGGAGTATGTGCTCCTTCATCCTTCTCTGTTTTCTTTTGCTTTTCTCCTTGTCTTCCAGCATGGTAACATGCTAGTCTGAAATCCTTTGGCAATAGTTTTACAAAAATGTCCCCTTCCATATAAATGAGATAAATATGCTTCCAGGGGGACAAGAATTGACTGGCAGACAGCACCGAGTGATACACAAGGAGCCTTAAAACTAGCAGTGAGTGCCAACACCTGCTTTTACAATCTTTGTATCTCTACATTAGCCCATCAGCTTTCTTTGACCTGCCTCTTACATGTTTTCTGAGATGGTCACTCTTTTCTGGCTTGGGGCCAGCGACAGTTATCTGTCTTGGGTGGGCCACAAAAACAGAATCACAACTTTCTACGCAGCGTTCTTGCCATGTGTGAGAGGAACTCTGGGCATCCTTCAGCAGATAACTAATCTTACTGGCCCTTGAATCCTTAGCAAGGTTGGGAGGAGATGCCTGACAGGACAGTCAGCCTCGTCTGTCAGCGGTAGCTGAAGGACAAAGCAATGAAGTGTGCTTGAGTTCCCTGTCCTTTTAGAAGAAGGGCATCTCAGAAAAAGTAGTAATGATTGCAGATTCCCATGAAGTGCTTTCTAGAAAGAGTGACAAGGGTGGGGGTTGCTTTTTCCAAATCCTGGCATGTGAGGACTTGCAACCTTTGTCTGTATTTTCTGGTACTCATGTTGCTGCAAGCCAAAAGTTACGTTTGGTATGCTTTATGGTTGACCAGGCAGGTAGCGTTCATCACTCTGAGCTTGCTGTGACGCTGAATGATGGGAATAACTCCGGTCCTGGGCTAACCTATGTCACAAGCCAGTCTGGTACTGGTGGGGTGTGTGTCTGAGGTGCTTCAGGCTGTTACGGGTTTTTCTCCATGTTGTAGGATGTAGTGTTTTCGAGTCTGCCTTGTGATTGAAAGCAGTTTTCAGTTCAGTAATTCAGCCTTTTCTCTGGAAAAGGCTTATTTCCCTGTTCTCCAATGCTTGGCTACAAATCTGTCCAATGACCTAAAAGATTTCCTTTTGAATTTTTCTTCCTCCACACTTGCAGTAAGCGTAGATTTAAACCCTCAGAGGTGTTCCTCTGGGGTACTGCATTTTTGAAGACCATGAATCCAAATTAAATGGTAAAAGGAAGATATTCCGAGAGAGATGCATGCTTCGCCTTGGCAACTTTGATCAAGTGTTTGAGATGCAGCAGGTGACTTATTGAAAATGGGGTACAGAAGACTGTGGTGATAAACGTGGGAGAACCATATCTTCTTTCTTTCTAGAAATCCTGAGCTCACTGTGAAAAGGTGGAGGAGGATCCTCCTGCAGTAGCTATTCTCAGACAGTTACAATGGATCAGAGTTAAATGATTTGGGTAATTCTAGATTTTATGTTGTCTTCCTTTGGGTCTAGGCACGTTTCAAGTATCAGCTTTCAAACAGAAATTCTGAGTTCCTTCGGTTTTGTCTATAGCAAAGCTTAGGTGTTCAGTGAGGTTTAAATCTGGTCTTCAGCAAACTCTAGCATTTTTACTGCACTTTGCTGTCTTTTTTTCTCCTTGAACATGCCTGCTTTGATCATTGACCTCTGCCCAAGTATTCAGATATCACGATGATGGACACTAGTGAGCCCAGGGTGATTCACTAATTCCAAGGACTGATGCTCATCTCTTTTATGCCCTTCCATAAAGGTCATGCTGATTCTTCTTTCTCTGCACTATCTGCACGTGCACAGCCCTCTCTTTCTGGGATTGATTCTTTCATCTTACATGGTTTATCTTTCTATGAGTTTTCTGAGACAGTGGTTGCAGCAACAAAAATATTAAAGCAACTGTGCTGCAGTTGGATGAAAATTAAAATTCCATTCCTACTTTGGAAGATCAGATTCTTGTGAAATTTTTCCAGTGCAATGAAACCCAGAGAGAAGTTTTTTAGCTCTCTATACAGAACTTGTCACTGAAAAAATTTCTCAGAGTTTTTGAGGGTAACAGCAG